AGGGACCCTCTTTTAATTAACCAATTACAATACAAAGCCTCAGCTTCTAGGATCACGGTAGAGATCGCTGGGCTACCCCCTTCACACTATAAAAAGCCATTTTTCCCCATCTAAACCAGTTCTTTTGACGATTTTAAAATACACAAAATCTACGACACTTTACTCAAGATTTCACTCTCCGGGACTTAGTCGATTTTTTAATTAATTTGGACTTAGAATATTTTTCTTTAAAACTAAATGACACTTAGAAATTTTAAAGTGAATTTTGTTTTGGTGAATCTTTTAATTTAATTTAATTTGTTCAATCATTAATAATATTTTATTTTTCTTGTTATGAAAATAAACATCAAATAATATTTTAAACATTATATTTTTTTTAAATTATTTTATTTTAACAATAAATCCAACCTAAATTTAGATATTCATTTAATAATAAAAATTTATTGTGAGCTTTTCTTATTGGGTAGCTAGTCTCGTTGCTAATGTCTTTGTTTTAACAAACATCGCGCCGGCAGACAAAGCTAAAGGTCACAATCTTCTCAATTTAAATTGAGATTTAAATTTATTTGACTAAGTGTATTGCAACTCTATACTTATTGGGTAGCTAGTCTCGTTGCTAATGTCTTTGTTTTAACAAACATCGCGCCGGCAGACAGAGTAAAGGTTGCAACTAGACATTGTTCTAGAATTAGGTATATTAGGTTAGAATATATTTGTAAGCCTATGCGTATTGGGTAGCTAGTCTCGTTGCTAATGTCTTTGTTTTAATAAACATCGCGCCGGCAGACAACGTAGAGAAACTTACGAATATATTTGCAGTGTTTAATTTTTGTCTTGGTTATTATTGTGCCGCATCCTTTCAAGGTGCTTTATTTTAGCACCGGGACACATTGGGCCACCACAATTCTGCCTTGATAAATTTTTTACATAGATATAGATATTTCTGAATCTTGTTTTGGCCAGGCCAGAGGAAAATTTAAGAATTATTGGTGTCGATCTCTCAATAAAATATACTCTCTAAAAAATACTTATTCAACAGACGTAAAAAAATCAATAAATAAAAAAAAATTAAAATTGTTTTTATAATAAAATACAGAGTGTTTAAAATCTTTTACAAGTAAGATCAGTCTTAGACTTTGTGTAATTAAATCATCTTATTTAAAGTCTTGAGTCGTTTTTGTAAGCAATTATATAGACTATATTACATATAGTGTAAATCGTATACGTAGTGCGTTTAATACGGAAATCAACACTGGATTACTTAAAATATTATTGTATCACACAGGACGTAAGGTAAGTACAATTTAACCTATGTTTTCGAACTTCCAACAATCTATTGCGTGATAAACCATTAAGAATTAATGAGAGAAACAATTAATGAGAAAATTAATTTAAATAAAATTGAAGACAATTAAATATACATTAAAATTACAAAACTTATAATAAATAATGATTACAATAATCTACTAAGCAAACCCTTTTTATCCTTTTTATATTCTCTCTAATTTTCTATCATTCTTCCTTTTTATTTTCTTTCTTTTTATTTTTGGTTTATTACAAGGGGATAGATTATTAAATAAAATTAGACTATTGTTTTATGTCAACGACAAAGTAAAGTTATATTCTAGATGTTCAGTAAATATAAGTTATATGTAATTCACAATACGTCTGACCTGAATCCTAGTACAGTTGGTTAGTAGGTATATCCAAGTGTGACGGAGTTGGTTGGTTACGATGACAATTGGAGATAGACGGGTTGTTGAATAAAACAAGTTAAGTTTTAAATAAGACGAAAGTAATACTATTGAAAGCTATGTCTATAACGGTCACTCAAACACAATTGCCCTTTGTTAGTTCGATGTCAGTAGCTCCGGGCTACAGACGATTAGAATTGTCACATCATCATCTCCCTCTATGCTAATTAATATGTATTACGAATTAAGTAAATGGAAATAAAACGTGTATAGTATAAGTGGTGAGAACATAGTAATAAATGTTTTTACAGAATAATATCGATTAAAAAGGTTTATCAATCAATTTAAGTAAAAACTTTATTCAGATTTTTTAATTTGTTCTTAATTTCATTTTAATTTAAGGATATTAGTCTAGAATAGTCAATAATTTTGATTTTACACTCATTTGTTTTTACATTAAGAAGTTTATCACCAAAATTATATAATTAATTATAATATAGTTTGGTCAACTTATCACTATCATTCTTAACTTTGCCGTATACTTGTACAATTTTATTTAAAAAGTACAATATGAAAATATGTAATTGTTTATATGGACATATTGCTAGCAATAATAAAAGGGAAGTTAGAGAAAATTAAAAAATATAAATATATATTTATATTGTTCGTGGTTCCGTTGATAATGTTTATCACCAGTAAGAGATATTTTTTACATTTTCATTTATAAGTAAATAAATATAACAGGATAAAATTATGATCTGTAATTACTTTAATAGCTATACTTATATAAAAGTAAAATTTGTATGCTAGTTATTAATGTTAGTACATTTTTAAATATCTATATATCGACTAAAATTATATTCCAAAAACCATTTGTGAATACTATTCATGACAGGTATTTATTGAATAGCTGTCAGTAACTATATTTGATTCAAGAGATTACTTTCAATGAGTGACATATTGGTTAAAAACAATCATACTGATAATAATAAAAAAATAATACAAAATGTAAATTTTGCTGTTATTAAACTAATCTTTATTTTATCGATAAAATAAAAATATATCCTTAACTGTTCGTATAAATATCACACGTGTAAACACACAAAAATTTATCAGCCTTCTGTATTAATTTCTTATACTATTTCTTTTATTAGAGAATGTGCTTTTATATTTATATTTATCAAATGACACCTATTTATTCTTCTTCTTAAGATTTCTCAGTCTTCTAACTGGCGTTACCTTCCTACAATTCTTCTCCATTTCTACCTGTCTTCTATTTTCCTTTTAATATCATTTATTTTATATATTTTAGGCTCAGTTCTCCACATATCTGTGATATGAAATTTGCTCTAGGTCCTCCTCTTCCTTTTTTCCCTGATATTATTCCTTCAAGTACTACTTGAATAGGTCTATCATATCTCAGAACATGTCCTAGCCATTGTAATTTATTCGTTTTTATGTTATCTATCATTATCCTTAGCTCATTTACTTGTTGTAGTACTTGATCATTTGATATTCTATCTACCCAGTTAATCTTTTGCATACGTTGATAGCACTACATCTCAAATGCTTTTATCGATTCTTGTTCATTTTTGTTGTATGCCCATGTCTCCGCTAAGTATATTGTTATAGGCTATACGTATGTCTTCAGCATCCATTTTCTGAGTATAATATTTATCTTCTTTGATAGTAGGATATGTTTTTTTTCGTAAAATGCATTCTTCGCCATTCCAATTATTTCCCTAATTTCTGTTTTGGATTTTGCATCATCCGTGATCGTTTGCTCTAGTTAGTAAAAATGGTTCACCTGTTCTATAATATATCCATCTACTAAAATTTCTGTCCGTATCTTTGTTTTTGCAATCACCAATGTTTTGGTTTTGCTGGCGTTTATTTTCATATTATATTTTTTTGCTGCACAATTTATTTTATTTATCAATTCTTGGAGTGGTTTTGACGATACAGAAACTATAGCTTGATCATCTGCAAAATTTAATTACTTTAATCTTCGATCCACCAATGCTCATCCCACTTCTATCGCCTCCGATACATACATCCATCATATTTTCTGAATACGCATTAAACAGGCTAGGTGAGAGAACGCAATCTTGCCGGACTCCTTTTCTAATCTGTACTTGTGGCAGTAGTGAAAAAATTCTTGTGAATATTCCCCATCCCAAAACAAAAATTGGGAACGACTCAGACCTAATTAAATTAACTTTTATCAGTAACTTTTTTTCAATAATTACAATTTATGTGTCAAGTATAAAAAATACCCTAAATGAACCAGTATCTCAAAATATTTTTATATATATATATCTCGAATCCAAACTTTATTTGATAAAAAATATGGTTCCAGTCTCTGATTTTAAACAAAAAATTCAATAAATTGGGAAAACAGACAATAAGTATTTTTTAGTTCATATCAGTTCTTTTATTCTGACTATTTTGTTAATAATTTTAAACATTTTATAAATTAACGAATTAATTTACGAATTTTGAATTTCATATAATTATTAGTAATTGTATTCTTAAGAAGTAAAAGCAATTAAAGTTTATTAATTTTACACTAATTAAAATTTTTAATACTTATTTTGTTTTAATACTCATTTATTCATTTAAGTTAATATATAGAACTCAAAATTATTTTAGAATAACAATCTATAAGATTAATTAATTATATATAACATAATATAAAACATTATACAGAGTGTTCAGTAATTAATAAAACGAGTCAATTGTTACAAACAGTGAGAACAATAGAAACCCGTTTTCTTACATACTGAAAACCCTATATATTGCATTATATACATAATTATTTCTAAAAACTCCCTTAGAAATTTTATTTAATATTTAGGAATATCATATCATAAAAAAAATTTGTATTCGCAGTAAGGGACGTGTTTTTTTTTTATTATTCACTTTCATAAGTATATGATTGTTATCGTTTAATACTATAATATTTATTCAACTTTACGTACATTATTTACAACCTTTCTATAGAATTTGTTTGCATTTGATCAATAGTGATAGCTTTAATATAATATATAGTTATACTATACACTTACAAGACTAAGTATATTTTATTCATTTTTATCATTAATCATATTTAACGTCCTTTTTAAAACCATTGCTGGTATTAGAAAGAACGATAAAACTTACATAAGTAAACATATATATTGTCTTTTTTTTTTGTATGAACAGGTCTAATTTCTTTCCCTTCTTTTACTTAAAATAAATGTTTAGTATATTTCCAAATTACGAATTTAAAGTATTAGAAAAATTATCAAATAATTGTCTTAAATAATGAAAGATATATGGCGAGAATATTGTGAAATTAGTACCATTCATGGTCTACGTCATGTAGTTCAAAAAGATGCAAAACGTTGGGAAAGGTAAAAATGTTGCGATATAATATACTAGGTGTATTAATTATTATATAGAGTGTTTAGTAAGTAAGGAAACAGATTTCGATTGTTGTCATTGTTTATAACAATTGATCTGTTTTCTTACTTATTAAACACTCAGTATATTTTATGTTCACTTTGTGGTAAGCGTAGATTCAGAATTATTTCGATTGGAGAGAATATAATATTTATTCGTTAAAAAATACAACTTTTTATGAATTTCATCACTGAATATTATTTTTTAATAGCCAATATTTTAAGGGATCTGTCTTTACGCATTGTCTCTGCATCCCCTACAGAATAAAGAATAGTTTAACTTTCAACTTGAAGTTTTATGTACATAATTATATGTTTTTATATAAAATATCACGGTTGAAATTTTATATGATAATTGAATATTTTACTCATATAATAAATTTAGAAACACTAATTATTTTATATGTTTTTCCTTTTTTTTTTTAGAGTAATTTGGATATCCCTATTAACTGTTGCAAGTTTTACGATTTTTATTCTGCTCATCTACTGGTGGAATATTTACATCAACTCCCCAGTGCAAGTAGTTGTGGATGATCCACGATATCCTCTAAGTAAAATTGACTTTCCTGCTTTAACAATATGCCCAATCAATAAGATTTTGTATTCTAAGACCAAAGCTCTTTCATTGAGGTATAAAAATGCATAAAATCTTAAAATAGGTATAAAATAATTCCAATGGATACATAAAAAGTTCACCACTTTTATTATTAAACAATTCATGAGTCACCCAGTTGAAATATTACGTATGTTCAAAAAATAAGTCATTAAAAAAATGACAAAATATCTTGTTGGTACTTTGGGAATCGAAGCTGGGACTCCGTGCACAGAAACATACGTTTCAAACAGCAGTAACTCGTTGAAAATTCAATAATGCAAACATTTTTTTTCAATTAAATAAATTTTATGATAAAAAAATTGGGTTTGTATTTGAACATCGAAAGTTGATATGAGTTAAAGGTAAAGGGATGATATCAGAAAACTAAATTTTTAAGTAAAGCGTCTCAAAAAAGATTATTATTAAATTATTACTGTAAAAATAATAAAATAATGATTAGCTGTAATATTTTTGAAGATATTTCATGAGGTGTAGTTAAAGAGTCACCCTGTAAAATATTTGCAATGTTTAATGAGAGTTTTTATGGATAATAAAATGTGACAATATTAAAGTACTTAATTAAAATATAATATTTACTATTTATCAGAGAACAAAAACTTGANATTAAAATATAATATTTACTATTTATCAGAGAACAAAAATGTTTTTTAGCCGATATCCTAATAACTCAGCATTGAGGCAAAAATTTTTGAACTCTTTAACGGCTCTATCAATTATGCGATTTCCGTTCTACAGTGAACCACTAAATTTCATCAAAAATCATTCATACATTACAATACCCACAGATCAAATTATCAACATCATGAAGCTGGTAAGTTTTAAATAAAGCAATGTTATATTAGAAATTAAAATATTGTAGTAATATTTTTTGCTACGTACTGTTTAAATATTCCAATATTTTATTAGATATCGCACTATATACTAAAAATAATAATTTAGGTATCCAAATCTATAATCTGCTGCCGTGAATGACGTCCTTATTCTAATGGCAGAACAAAAACATATGTATAAAACATCATAAATAAAATGATTAGTTATTGAAAAATATTTAAATTTTAAGTTTTTATTTTTTCAGTACTAATAAAATAAGATAAAACATTAGGGATAAATAAATTAAAATTACAATTAAATCTATTTCTAAAAAACCCAGCACAGTGGGGTGGCGGCACAGTGGGGTCGTGGCATAGTTGGGTACAGTATAGATGATATCTGACAGTGATTAAAATCACTATTATAAAAAACGCTTCGATGCAAATCTGTAGATAGAGTTGAATTAAAAAAAAAAAATTTGTTAAAATAGCATATTTTTGAATATGGTAGCCATATGCTCATAGAAGATAGGTCGTCGGGACAAATTTTTTTTTTCATTTTATAGTACATAAAATAAGCTTTGATTTGATATATGTTTAAAGGACGCAATATTTCCGGAACATTTTCAAAAATTAAGTTCAAAAAGTTATTTTTTGTAAAAAAGTTACTATTTTAAATCCTCCCAGTGAGCAGAATAAGTGTTAGATATTCAAAAAAAATTATATCAAATGAAAGGGAAATATCTAAGGTTTCAATACAAAAAAATATTATTTTTATTTGTTCATTTTTGAAAAAGTTATGGCAGTTTTAAGTACAAAAAACATCCCGATAAAA